ATGCGAAAACATCGGCAAGGATCAAATTTCTCCAAAATTCCTGAAGCCTGAAATGCGAAAACATCGGCAGGGATCAAACTTCCCCCAAATTCCCAAAATCTGAGCGACTATAGCCCAGCATTCCCCATAGATGCGTCTTGCTGAAGGCTTCTGTGAACGATCCTGAAACGGTTTCCATGCGCCTAATAAGGTGTAGGCTAGCAGCTCTAGGCTGGCAGGCTTACGGCTAACCGCTCAATACGACCTGAACCCTAAAAGTATGTAGAATAATGGCTGACGTAGCTGTTTGGCCACTATTATTCTTCTGCTTATTATCATGTTATTGTTGTTAATATTGTGTATGATTGCTGTTGTTATTCTATTAGACAAAAAGTTTGACCATCTAGGGAAATGAACAAGCCCGAGTGGGGGCCGCAAGGATTTGGGATTTAGGGGCGGGCTCGCAAAACCAAACTAAATAGAGAGTGTATGAAGTAGCATGTTTATCCCAAGGAAGAGACCCAAATACTCCTGCCTAGGGAGTCCCATATTACGCATACTCCCCAAGTAAGCAGAAACCCTACTCCCCCTGGAAATGCCTTCTACCGGTCCGGGACTGATGGTTAGCGCTTGAGGGTCTAGGGCTGAGGGCTTTAGGCCGTTGCGGCTTCAGGGCTGTATGTATGTATGTATGCATGCATGCATGCATGTATGTATGAATATATATATATATATACGCATGTTCGTATGTATGTGTATGTAGATGTATACTTTTCTTCGACTTTTGAGAAATCCTTACACCCGCCTCTCCTAAACAACACATAACTAGACCCGAAACTCTGATATGAAGGAACCCCTATTTTCGATCCCAGACGCCCATCGTCGGTACCGCGATCGGGCACTCACCACGTGTACTTCCGTCCTGCCGCTGGGTTTAGGGTTCGCCAGAGCCTTACTGTTTCGGGGTGGCTAGAGTTTGAGATATTACTGGACTGAGGGTTTGAGGTTTCAGGGTTTAGGAATTCGAGCCCCGGGATCAGGTTTGTGGGCCGGGTTCGGATTCGATGTGCACTTTCGTCCTGCCACTGCCCGTTCCAGCTCCGCGATACACCTGAGCTTGTGGATCTAGGAGAAGTCGCGATGCTTAAATCCTACTGTCGATCCCTCGAAACATGCCAACTCCACAGCCCTACAATCTAAACCTGCCTCCCTCATTGCTTCTCAGCTCCCTATGTCGGGTGCAAAACCTCAACCCACGAGGTACCTGATCTGCTATGGAGGGCTATACGGATGAACACACTCCAAGGGCTCAAGGAATCTTGAAGCCTGCAGATTGCACAAGAACCTAGCTCCAAATCCTAATTCCAAAACCCACTAGAAACTCTTAAGCCTTAAACCCTAAACCCTAAACCCAAAGCCTTAAAGGAACCTCATACACTCAAGAACCCCAAACCCCAACCCTAAACCCATTAGAAACTCCTAAGCCTTAAAGGAACCTCATACACTCAAGAACTCAAAAAAACCCAACCCTAAACCCTAAACTCCAAACCCTAAACCCTAAACTCAAGAACCCGAAACCCCAAAGCTTCAAACTTCACCTGTCCAAGGTGCGCAGACAAGGTCGCCTCGCCAATTGACCAGGAATCTGACCAGGCGGTTTAGGGTTTAGGGGTTTAGGGTTTAGGGTTTAGGGTTGAGGGTTTAGAGGTTTAGGGTTTAGGGGTTTGGGGTTTAGGGTTTAGGGTTTATTTAGGGTTCTAACGTTTAGGGATTTAGGGTTTAGGGTTTAGAGGTTTAGGGTTTAGGGTTTAGGGTTTGGGGTTTTAGGGTTTAGGGGTTTAGGGTTTAGAGTTTAGGTGTCTAGGGTTTAGGGCTTTGGGTTTAGGGTTTAGGGTTTTAGGGTTTAGGGGTTTAGGGTTTGGAGTTTAAGGGTTTAGGGTTTAGGGTTTAGGGGTTTAGGGTTTAGGGTTTAGGGTTTAGGTGGTAAGGTCTAGGGTGATTCAGGTTCACACTACACTATCTGTCATCATCTCCATAGTCGTCATGATAGTATTTTTAATCTTCTGAATCGCCGTACTCGTCGTCATCATCACCAACACCATCGTCATCGCCGTCAACAGAAGCATCGTCGTCAGCATCGCCGGCAGCAAGAAAACACCGCGGCACTCAGTGTTGGGGTTCTGTCTTGCTCAAACATCAAGGTTCGATGCTCAGGTGGCATTTTGAATGTTGGCTTCGAGGCGCCGTCTGGTTCCGACCTCGATGTTGGTTGGCATTTCGGATTGATGCGAGATCTTATGGAGATTGACAGCGTTTATGGCCCAATGGGTTTGAGTTCCCCCGTGGCCCCTTTGAGAGGTTCCTTTTTTCTGGTTTCTTTCTAGAGATCCGTAAAGAAGGCAGGCTATTGGGGCTACAGGTAGGGCTTCCAGGGAAGGATTAGTGGTCTAGCGCTTACGGCTGAAAAGCTGCAGAAGGTCGAGAACGTTTAGGCTTGAATTTTGGGTCCCTAAACCCTAAACCCTAAACCCCTGGGATGTCTAGGGTTTCAGGTCTGGGGCCTAAGCGTCGGGTTAAGGATGTGGGATTCAAGCCAGCACCCCGAAAGCAAGGGCAGCGCAGCCTCTCACAGCAAGGGCTATCCCATGAATCGGGGGCTTAGGGCCGCTGGGCCGGGGTTTAGGGTTTAGGGTTTAGGGTTTAGGGTTTAGGGTTTAGGGTTTAGGGTTTAGGGGCGAGAAGTACTAGGGTTTAGGGTTTTGCCGCCATCAGCTCCTCAAGCACTCCAGCCCTGAAAGCCAAAGCTCAAACAAGAACACAAGACTAAGTATGCGTGAGGATTGCAATTACATGAAGCCGGTGTTGCACGCTATGCTACAACCTAACCGACCTCTTCTATAGCCGCCTGGTTACTCAGTCGCCTGATGCCTAACCCTAACCCTCAAGCTTCCAGATGTTGCGAAGGACTGGGGCCCGAAGCCCCAGTTAAAGCCAGGCCCGCACCTTAAACCCTAAGCCCTAAACCCTCAAAACCGCACTCTTAAGACCTACCGTGATCTGCAATCGATCACACACCGAACCCGACAGAGCCGTCAGCTTAAACCCTGCCCCCCCCTGAACCGTAGCCCCCTACAAAACCGTCTAAATCCCCTCCAAACCCTTACACCCCTAAACCCTATAGTACCCTTTAAAGGAAGCCTAGGATCCCAATAGTCCTATAAACTCTATAAACCCTATAAACCCTATAATCCCTAATCCCTAACCCTAAACCCTAAACCCTAAACCCTAAACCCAGGAATGTAGAACCCCGGTCGCTAGAAGCCTGTTTGAGCCACCCGTCCGGTGCCCGAAACCCCAAACCCTAAAGTTAGGGTTTAGGGGTTTAGGGGTTTAGGGGTTTAGGGGCTTAGAGGTTTAGGGGTTTAGGGGTTTAGGGGTTTAGGGGTTTAGGGGTTTAGGGGCTTAGAGGTTTAGGGGTTTAGG